CTTTGCAGGTGTCTAGTTGCTTGCTCATCTAAATTCTGTTTAGTGTTTCTGCTGATCCTTCTTTGCTTCTGTGTGCTGTGCCTTGGCTCGTTAATGATTTTATTTCTCAGGGTGCTTCATTAGGTTATTCTCTGAGTGGTTTCTTTTGTGTTTTTTTTTTTTTTTCATCTTTTAGTTTGTGGTGTTTCATCTTACTATGGGTGCTTATTGACCAATCCAGCTTATATTTTTGAGGGCTAGTGGATTGTCTACCCTTTCCTTTTCTTTTTCTATTGTAATTAGATAGGGATCCCTTACTCCTTGGTTTTATTTTCTTTTTGCTATAGCTCGTGGAGAATTAAGCATGTTTTGGACCCCTCTTAGGATTTGTAACCCCATTTTTAATATTAACACTTAAGCCCACTGTGGGTTTCAACCAAAAAAAAAATGCATAAGAAAGTAACATACTAGATAGTTAAACATATTATTCTTATTAGCCAAATTGATTACTGAAATAAAATGATAAAGTTATGGTCAATATACATGGGCATGTAAACAATAAAATGCAGGATCAGAAAAGCTAGAAGTATGTATGCAACAAAAACACCAAATGATGTCTAAATGAAATGATATTTAGAAATGTTAAATCAATAGAGGAAAAACCCGCCGCAAAATTTTGTATGAATTGATGTTATCTGTTATGATTAATGGTTGAAAGATCATGCAGGAAATTTTGGTTGTGTATGATTTCAAGGAGATTTGTTTAATTTTTAAGTGATATGATGTATGACGAGGTTTGGGAGGATTGGCTAGCTCTTGATGCCATGTTTTATGCTTCAATTACATATTCTTAAGTTTCTTACAATAATAGTATTCTTAATTTAAGACTGACAAATTAGTCTTCAAAAATGCTCCTGCATCAATTGAATAATCTAAATAAGTTACGATTTTTGTTCTTTTTTTCTATAAAGTTGCAATCTATAGTATCCCTACTTTTGCCAGGTTAATCTAGCCCTCAGCAATATAGTAGTATTCCATCAGGCTAGAAACCTAGTGAGTTCGTATTGGAAATTGTTAGTTTTTGTGTTGAATGAGAAAGCAAACAAGGATAACATTAAATTTAGGAAGCTGTGACAAACTGAGGATTTTTGGCAGCGTTTGGTTGGTCAACATAACTTCATAAAGATTGTTTGATGCACTAAATTCCTTGGCAGACCATGTAGATATATCATACTTGCTTATTTATGTCTTATTTTCATATTGTTTGAATTGGTTTACTCTCATGGCTCAGTGGTGATATTCTCTCCATTCACTAAGATATTTGAAAAATTGGTCCAAACTTTTTTGAATACATTTGGCTTAAAATAGGCGGCAGATGTGGTAAATGGACCTTAAGAAATGAATGGCATTACTTTTAGACAGTGAATGATAAGCTTATTTGCTTTTTTTTTTCCCCCTCATACAGTGAAATCAACCGTGGTGATTTGTTAAGTAGCATGTTTGAGTTATTATCAGAAATGTCAAGACATCTTGATTCCAGACTAATCAATATCATTATGTGTTTGTGATACGAAGGGATAAGGGGAGCAGAGAGGTTGGTCCAGCCTAGCTAGCCAACTAGGGCCGAATCATCATGATATTAGTCCTGTGCTTCAGCAACAATTTTCTTTGCTCCTTCTTGAGGATAAGGTTGGCTCTTTGGGAGGGAAGTATTGATGGACCGACGATTGAGGCGGTGGGCCCCACTAGGGTGGGTGCTAAGCAAAAAGAGATGGGGAATTGTTTAGAAAGTTTTAATTACAATTGAAAGAGAATTAATTAAGAAAAATGTCTAATTTGAATTCAAATTTGGATGAGAATTATTTAGGAAAACCCCAGGCGAGTTAATATTCATTATTTAAGGAGAAAATAAGGGGGAATTATTTAAGAAAATTTTAATTACAATTGGGAGAGAATTAATTAGGAAAAGAGTTCTAATTTAAATTCAAATCTGAGAGGAAATTATTTAGGGAAAGGGGGCTGATTTGGGAGGGAATTAGGGGAGCCTATTTAAGGCTAACTATGGTTGATTTCAGATTATGCTTGAATTTGCTGGAATTAGTTTTGCTTAGGTTGAGTGAGCTCTAGCCGACAGCTAGAGAATTTGGGAGAGCCGGATCGTCCTCTCCAATTGAAGATCCAATTGTACCTTTTGTTTTTCTTCTTAGTTCTTTCAATAAAAAAGAGTTCTTATATGTTCTTCTTCCTGAATTTCTTGTGTTGTTATCTGGTTTTGCTGAAATTACATCCACTTCCTATGAGCTTGTTGATTCGATCAGCTTGTTGTATTTGGTTGGAAATGGAATGGTATATTCTTTGGAAAAAAATGTCCAATTAGCTAGGTTTGTTATATGAAATGCTTCTCATGTGGTGCTTGTGCTAGAAGATTGTTGATAGGGGATGTGCTTCTTCGTGCTGTTCTGAAATTGATGGCATGTTTGTGTGCTTAGAACTTTTGGAATGCATAACAAGGATGTTTGAAATATTCCCGACAGATAGGATAGGCACTCTTTTAAGCATAATGTGAGTATTTTCATGCATAACTCTCTCAGAAGAAAATGAGCAGTTTATTTTATTCTTTGATCAATACTGAGAATGTTGTTACTCAACTTGAAATTAATGACTTGCCAATTTTACATTGCTGTTAGATGACAGGTGGTAATTTTGCTTACCTGCTATACTGCTACTCTTTACGACCGACAGATGTTAAAAATGTATTTAATATTCCTTTTTTTTTGTGATGGGTCTAGAAGGGAATGACCATTGCCTTTTAAAACTTAACATTGTGGTTGAAAAAGCTAAAAGATCACACTATTGATTTCCATCTACAACAATATTAGGCTTCATTTTCATAAGCTTCAAACAATAATCAAAGATGCAAAGAAAATAAATATGTTTGGAAAGTGTATGTAAGCCCGCTTAAATGTCTAAATTCGCCTATGAATTTCACCAATCAATGTAATCAACTAAGTCATAAATATCATTAACTCATGTATTTGATTTAAATCCATTTAAATCTTTCTACAAATTGAAAATCACATTTATCTTCTCATACAATTAAAACCATTTATTAGGAAATTTTTGTTGCATCTAATGATGATTATATATAATTATTAAGTTCTTGAAATCATGTATGTCACTAGGTTTTAATTATCTTAAAGAGGATGGATGGTTTTCATTTGAAGTTCATAACAGCCCAATCTTATGGGAGGGTGATGTAAGATGTCATAGGGTCTACAATTTCTTATGTTGATCTAATATAGGATACAAAAAACCACGCAATAAGCATAATAAATTTATAGGGTATAAACATTTATTAGTAGGGTCTGTTTGCTTTGAAGGTTTGGGTGTAAAACATTTCAAATGTATGGGTTTTAGAAATATAAGTGTTTGGTTTGATGAAAAATAAATTCAAATAGTTCAGATTCCAGGCACAAATCAATTTAAGGAAAGCCAACAAAGATAGAAAAAGTAGAGTTTATTGGAGTAAGAAGAAAGTGAAAGTAAGACAATCGAGTATAGCTAGTCTACTTGGTCTTAATTACAAGATACCATGTAAGGAAGAGTTCTGAGGTGGGTTACAGTGTGTTCTAGAGGAAGATCCTATTCAATATTCTCTCTCTTTGATACATGGATTCATGCTCTGGTAGCTCAGATCTCTAGAATGGCATTGGGTAGCCTTTGGAAAGAGTGAGTTGCACTTTTTCTATACTCTAATGCCTCCTATCCATAGGAAACATAGGTAGCTTCCACAAGAGGGCCTTCTAGTTACGCCAGATTTGTAGCAACCTAGCATTGAATATATCTATACATTCATATACATTTTGGCTTAGTTTTGAGCTAACTTGATTTGAATTAGGCATAAAATTTAGTTTGATTTGAAACACTTGGCTTGATAGTTAGCTTGTTGACTGATTTAAGTTCAGTTCAAACAACTAAACCAATCATATTTTCAAGTGGTCTTTGATTTTTGAATCCAATTCATAGACATTAGTTACTTGCTCTATCTGATCCGTTAGAATATTATATTTTAGATCGTAGAAGCTATATTTATGAAGCCTAAGGCTTCGTTTGGGACGACTTTTTTATTGTTTTCTAAAACGGAGTTCTAGTACAAAATTTTTTATTTTTGTACTAAAACGGATAGAAAGCAATAAAAAAGCCGTCCCAAACGAAGCCTAAATTTATTGGAGAAGTTCTGGTAAAGTTGTATGATACCGTGACATCAGTCGTGTTTGGTCTTGTGGAATGTGGACTATGCATACAAGCATTACCATGAACCTCTTATCCCTCTTTCCCTTTCAGATGGTGGGCAGGTAACATATTAACTTTTATTGTAACTTGAGGTAAAGAGTAGCTGCAAGATTACCAAAGCGTCCATGACTCACTACAGCTACTTTACTGTAGGAATATTCCATTATCTGCCTAATCATGATTAAAATATTAAACTTTTGGCAGAATAGTTTGTATTGTAATGATAGATAAACCATGAGATCGAAGCTCTTGGACATTTTGTGCATATTCTAGATTATATACGTTACTTTCACAATATTACTTGCGTATGATGAGAAAAGTGGAGGGTTGCGTTAGATAGTCTACAGGTAGCGTAAAACTTGTCGAATAATCATGACATGAATCCTTTAAAAAAATATTGAGAATTTGACTTTTAACAAGACACAATGGCAAAAAAGGATTCATGTAGTCGACCCTACGTAGTTGGACTAAGGCTTGATGTTGTTATTATACTTGTGTATGATGGATGCATGCTCTTTATTTTACCTTCTACTTTAACATTCAAAAAGCTTAACTTCTTTTTTCCAGATAAACCCCAAAAATCAAAATGGATTGTGGAAATTTTTTCTGCATGGAATGATAATGCCATGCTGATTTATTTCTCCCACGTAGTACTTACACTTTGTTATTTATTTATCTTTCGACTGCTTCTAATTGCGAGGGCACTAAGGATTGTTTCCTGATAACAGAGCTGGAGAATGGCCCAAGGACCATAAATGATCTCAAGTTGATCAATGCTGGAAAGATACTAGAGAACAACAAAACATTGGCAGAGTGCAGAAGTGCCATATGTGATTTATCTGGAGTTACAACCATGCATGTTGTTGTGAAGCCCCCCTCACAGGACAGAGGAATTGGTACATTTTTCCTTCCATTTCCTACTTCATATTTTCCCATTTACATGCTGATATACTATTTCTTATACTTTTTTTTTTCTCTCAACAGAAAAAGATGATGGGAACAATTCCAAAGGAAATAGATGTCGATGTACTATTTTATGATTAACATCATAAACTTTGTTGCATTTAGTTATTCATTTATTTTTCCTATGGTATAATACTACTGTTATGGAGGTTCCAGTTTCCTTAGGGGATCTAAGAACAATTCATGGTGGTTTTTTGGGTTCTTAGAATTTGCAGACTTGTGTTGAAATGCAGTTTAATATCATCCTCATAATGTGTGTCTGTGTAAATTGATACTATAGATTCTTGTACTGAGTGAGTTATATGTGAGATGTGATTGCTTTCTTGGTTTTTTTTTCTTTTGAGTTCTGAGTGCTTGTTGATTTTGGTTTTCCTGCAAGTTTCTTAGCATTTTGTGAGCAGGGAGAGTTCGGAGTGGCTTGCTATGACCATCTCTAATGGAACGACAAAAAATTTGTCGTTCTTCCGTCGTTCCAACCGAGCGGCAATTTTGCTGCTATTTCATCACGGGTGAACTGTGCGACACTTGGTGTGGCACTGTTCACCTGCTAAATTTTTGTGTCAACGGGATTTGCCCGCAAAATGGAGAAAGTACCGCATAAGCGAGACGATGAAACTGGCGAAATGGAGTTCGATTGGAGCAGAATTACCGCATTTTGGAGTTTTGTTGTATTTTGCAGTGGAAAATGGGGTTTTCGGTTGGAGACGCCCTAAGTTGTTCTAGGCTTCATTTGGTATGATTTTCTTAGTGTTTTATAAAACAATTTTTTATCACAAAAATTAATTTTTTTAAAAAAACAATAAAAAAGACGTGCCATATAAAGTAACAGCAGGTTAATAAAAGTTGTATTATATTTTATGTTTTTAATGCAGCCAAACAACTTAACTGCAAATAAAATATACTATATTTCCTTTATATTATATATATTTATATTTAAATGCATGAAATCAAAGATGTTTTATGTACCGATTAATTTGTTGTGCCAACTTGAGCATTATTGCTATCTGAAAAGATTGGTAAGATGGTTAATCAAATTTCATTATATCAGTTAGCAATAAATATTGTCATTTTTATTTCCTAAAGCTATGTTTGGTTAGAAGAATTTGGAGGAAATGTAATTACATTTTACTTAATAAATTTTAATACTTTATATTTGGTTAGAATATAATTAATAGATAATCGAATTTACTATTTTTTTCATTGTCAATCCCTTTCATTTAGCTTCATAGACACACTATGATCAAATAATTCTCATAAGCTTCAAAAGAGGTGCATCATGAATTTCTCATCATACAAATATATTGACTTTGAGTTAATATTTCATAAAAAAGCACCTATTTATTGTACTTAGCAAAGAGAATAGTATACATCTTTTGTAATAAATGGTAAGTAGTAAAGGATTATGTTGGGAGAGAAGATTGAAGTGTGTGGGCTCCAAAAATTCACGCTCTTGGCTATGCTGTGAGAGTTTTGGTGGGTTTTCGTCAAATTTTTTTATGGCGGGTTGGATTGTTGATAAGACAATACCTAAATATTTTATCCTCATTTTAGAAAGGTTTTATGAATTTCTTCTATAGTCATAACAGAAGCACGCATAAGATGTACTGCATCACAAATATCGTGGATGAATTCTTTCCTCGTGCTTTAAAATGTGCACATAACTTTTTAATCATCATGTTAGAAGTGTGTACATGGGATTTAGGCAATTTTTGATCAATTAAGTTAAATTCATACACATCACATACGTAATATTCAAATCGAAGACCTCTTAGTTGGTAGTTAAAGCACCCAACTAATAGATAAAGGTGAGCTATGTAGAAGATTTTTGAGGATTTGTTAGTTTAAACCTTCGCATATAGGGCCAATGAGTACACTTGATTTTTATAATTTTTTTTTAGATTGTCTTTTTTTTTCTTTAAAAAAAAGAGGGGAGAGTGAGAAAAGGAGAGAGAAAGAGAAGAGGGAAATAGAAAAATGGAAGAGTGAGCAAAAGAGAAAATGAAAATTTTCCAGAGAGAAATGAGGGGGTGATAAAAGAATAAGAGGGGGAAAGAAATAGGGTTGTCAATATTTGTCCCGACCCAAAAATTCGACTTGAATTTGATCCGAAAATCTCGGGTTAAGATGAACCCGTGTCGGGTTCGGATTCCTGTTTTCAATCCGTTTGGAAAAACAAGTCACCCCGAAACCCGAACTCAACTTCTGTTAACTCGTTTGGCAAAGCATTCGAGTCATGTTAGTCGTTCTGTCCTTGTCAAGTGATTGATGGCGCCGCCGTTGACTCACACACGCCCATTTTTCAATCAAAAGGTGACCGCGGGTTGGGTCAGGTCAAATCGGAAACCTGCGTGAGTACAATGCAAGTTGGGTCTGGATTGAAATACTTGAATCAAATGCAAAAATGGGTCAAGTTTAAGTTAGGTCAACTAGTATCGAGTAAGTTTCGGACTCTACCAGAAGGGACCTGATATTGGGCAAATTATTGGGTCAGGTGACCGGACGCGGAGATAGATCCGGATATTAATAAAATATTATTTTAAATTTAGCACAGGTAAAGCGCAGGTAAAGCGCAAGTCAAAAAGCGCAAGTAAAGCGCAGGTAAAGCGCAACTAAAGCGCAAGTCAAAAGCACAAGTGACGCAACAAATTTTTATTGAATGTCCGAACTTATTTTTCGCCTCCGGTCACCTGACCCAATAATTTGCCCTTAAGAGGGAGAGGAAGGAGCAGGGCCAAGAGAGCGGCTGGGTGGTCCGCTCGGGCGTGCGAGGGAGACGGAGACGGCGGCGCTGAAGTCGCGGTTGGATACGATGGCGACTGGGAGAGGTGGTGAAGGTTGCGTCAGTGGTTGTGGAAGGTAGAAGCGTGGTCGAGCAAGGATTTGGCGACCGCATGGTCGTCGGTGTGCGAGAGAGAGACGGGGCGACGGTGACCTGCGGCTTGGGAGAAGGGAAGGAGAGTGGGAGGTCGTGTACGCTGGTAGCGCGGCATGGGCGGCATGCTCGACAGAAAAATTAAAGTAAATATATAATTTTTTTCTTTAGGTCAAGGAGCAAGATGATGAAAATAGTTGTTACATGTTTGTTTTTTTTTTACTACAGAAGACTAGCAGCCATGCTATTAATCGAAGCCCCCACCCCCAATTTCGTTGCTTTTGAATCCTTCAATGAATCAATTGCAGAAATGAAGCCACTGCTATAGTTTGTTCTTCACTTCCTATCTTTCATACTAACATTCATTCTCTTTCACATACAAAACTATACAGCATACAAAAGCTTCATGGCATAGCAAATCTACAACTCAGAATTGAACATCTACAATCTTCCCAGCCAAAATTTGCGAAGCAAAACTCAATCAAAATATGTGCACAAGCCTCAGTCATATTCAGAATGCTCTTATTTACACAACCACATGCTTATTGCAAACAAATTTGAGCTATTTTACAGTTTACTGTAGAAATACTCCCAAACAGTTCAACACCACGCAAACAAAGGGTGCAACTCAAGTTACTAAACTGAAAGCTCATATTAACCGTGCTGCTTTGGTCTCCTGAAGTGAGATCACAGTTTCAAAAGCTCCCACCAAGGCTTTTACCTTGCTCTTCCTAGTCTTGACAAGCTTGCTTGCGGTTTCTTCGATTACATGATTGAAAAGAGCTTGCATATCTTTCTTCTCTTGTGCATCTTGATGCTTCAATATGACAGTGGCAGCTTCTGACGAATTGGCAAGAGCTATTGCACCAGAAGGTTTCATGTCGCTCTTATCTCTCTTCCTAAAGAATCTCTTTATGACTTCACCATTGGAATTCTCATCAAGCACTCGCCCCCTCCTAAATCTGAGCCTTCTAGGCCCAACGTTCTCTGTTGGCCTAAGATCAATAACTCTTCCTCTCTTGAACTTCATCTTGTAAGGCAAGGAAGAACTATCATCTATTTTAGCAGCTGGAGTTCTTCGTACCCTTCTCTTGTCTTTTTCCTTCGAATGATCACCTCCTTGCTTGCTTTTGACATCCTCAATTTCAGATAGTTCACTAACACAAGACTCAGAAATATATCCATCACCTTCGATACTGAAGTTCTCATCATTGGCAACCATACCTTCATTCTTTGATTTTGCTTCTATGCTTTTCTTAATGTTCCGATGGATGTCAGCACCATCATCAGTTTTTTTTCCTCTTAGGTGTGTTGCATGCTCTAGATTTTTAAATTTCCTTTCTTTCAAACTTACAACATCATGGACAGGTATTGTGGAGTATATAGAAGCTGTTTGCAACTTCCGAAAATTCCTGTCACCAACTTTAAGCATTTTGAAGCTTTTGCTAACTTTCCTGTCCAAATTTCTTGAACTTTCTAGGTTCCTAGTGGCATTTAATTGAGCTACAGACCTTACAAGTGGAACCTTAGCCTTCAAAGAAATTGCAGGTTTTGCAGAACCATCAATCTTTTTAGAAGGTAGATAAACATTTTTCCTCTCACTCTGTAATTTAGTTGATGCAGAACGTTTCCTGCCAGTCATGTTCTTTTGCCTGTTCACTTTCCATGCAGAGGATGTAATGGTTTCCTTCACATATGATGCAACCTTCTCCTCAAAGATATTTGGGTCACCGCCAGAAGTAATTTCAGCAGAAGCCTTGAGTTTGTTTTGCTTGACCGGAGAGTGCTCCAAGACAGGTGAAGCCTTTGGTTTCACAGCTTGTTTCTTCTTCTTCTTCTCGTTCGCATTCAAATTTTTCAGGTGATCTACTTCAACTGAAGAACTAATTGTTTGCAGTGGAATTGCCATGCTCTTTTTCTGGAGACTAATTTCATTAGGGATCTCAGTCATCCCAACTACCTTTTGCATATTTTGTTGTAAAACTTTTGCTTTATCAGAACCCCTTGAGATCTTCCTCCTGTCACCCATATTCAGATCTCCAGCATGATTTTGCACAGAATCTGAAACATTGCCATTTTTCATGAACCTTCTGAAAATAGTATGCTTTCCTTCATCATCGAAATCATGCTTATGACCATACTTGCATAAATCATGACAAGAACCCATAGGAGCTTTCAGATATCGAGACTGGACATTTCCATAAGCATTTGAAAGAAATATTGGACCCCTAGATTTCTTCTCTAACCCTTCTTTTTCCATGATACTCTTCTCTATCAAATCTTTCCCCATCATTCTTGGTTAAGGCTGCAAGTATTCAAGCTTGGAGTCAACAAATAACAGAAAATAAGGAATTTGATCGAGAGGAAGGCTGCAAGTGCTCAATAACGAGAAATTATTCTGTGCGGAGTCCGGACGAGAAGTTCCGGTCTGGACTATAAATGTACACACTATGTACAAATAGTGCGTACACAATTTGTACACTCACAGTCCGTACGGCAACTTCCCGTCTGGACTCTGCACGGAATAATTTCTCCTCAATAACACACTACTTAAACACATGAATAAAATAAAATAAAGAGTATATTGTATTGATTGGGGGTAGACCTGTCAATTTCGGGTTACGGGTCGAACGGGCAGGCGGGCAGCAGCGCAGCAGCGGGCGGGATAGGAAAATTCCGAAAATTCAAAATTTTTTAAAATAAACGGGTTTTCGGGTTGACCCGGCGGGTCGCCGGGTCAACCCGAACCCGACCCGCCTCGGATTCGGGTCAACCCAAACCCGAAAATTCCGGGTCGGGTTCGGATCGGGTTTTCGGGTCGGATCAAATATTGACAGGTCTAATTGGGGGCTTACTTGTATGATTGTGATGATGCTAACAACATGATCAAGCTTAAACTTCTTCAAACTGTTCAGGAAAAAAAAAAAGCAGAAAGCCTGATAAAAAAACGAAGAACATTCAATGAAATAAGCATTTGAGCTACTAATGCATGATTGTGTTGAACAAAATGGCTGTCCAAGGCAGCTTAAGAAGACAATAAAGTTAAAAGAACATATTAACAGATGATACATTCTTCAAACATCATAACGAAGCACAAGATGACATAAGAACAAAGAAAATACATGCATTAATATTCATACATTCTTCAACCAAATTAATTTAAAAGCTAAGATAACCAAGGAATAATAAACAAAGCGATGGAGAAAGAACCTGCAAATTTCTTGGTGGAAACACTAGAATCCATCAAGATTACAGCTAATTAGAAACTTGTGAGAACAATGGAAAGGCAAAAGGCTAAATACTCAAAGATGTTGAAAACATTAAAGCAATCTTCCATGGAGTGGGCTCACAGTTTGCAGAATCCAAGGCAAGAAAAGAAGAACTAATTCATCTCTACAAGAAGCCATTCATCATCAAAATTTTACATACTTCAGAATAAAAGAAAATCAATCCGGTTTAATAGAATCCCAAATAAATTCCAAACAAGAACAAAAAATAAACAATCGAGATTCCTAAAAAAGAAGAACCCACCACCAAACAGAACCCTCAAACTCCAAAAAAACCAATCAAGATCGGATCTTTTTCTCAATCCATTTCACCATTAGGAGATCCAAGAAGAAGAATTTTGCCTGCATGGAAAGATAGTGATAAAATAAAACCCACGGAGAACAAAAAGTCTTCATGGTGGCAACTTGGCGATTCCTTTCTCGAGGAAGTTAAGAATATTAGAAAAGGAAACCCATTTAAGAATCCCGAATAAGGTCCAAGACCTAGACTCCCCCCTCGAAGAGATCGTGCAAGCAACCAATGTGGGCAGCCGCCAAAGGTGGCTTTTTTAATCTCCGGGATAGCCTCGTTAGTTGCAGAGGAGAAACTAAAGCAATCATAGAGGAAGAGTAAGGCAAGAAGGAGAGCGCCAGAAGGAAGGGACTCGTACCAAAATCATATGGAATCATGGTTCCATGATTGCCGTTGATGCGGAGGTTTTGGGCCCCTAACCTCAACGTTACTGAAGCGTTTAAATTTGGGTATTTTATTTTTAGGTCTTTAGGTTATAAGAGGGGTTAGGGGCTTAATGGCTAGAGCTTTTAAATTTATATTAAAATTAATATAGTTAATAAAACCATTTATAAGCACTAATCTCAATATAAATTTAAATTTTTTTAAAATCATCATAATATAAATTACATCAAAATATTCTTACATAATTTTATTTTTATTTGATTATCTATGATTTATTCCTTGAGTAAATCATTAAATTTATAATTAATGTTTATTTGGTTTAGTGAATTTTCAGGAGAAAGAAATTGTGTTAGTGTATCGACATACTAGTAAGATGTTTTTTTGAATAATTAGATTTACTTTGAGATTTGTGCAATACATAATCTTTATATAAAAAAATAATTTCAAAATAAATCTAATAAAACGAGCATTAATAGGGACTTGCTTATAAAAAAAATGATAAGAATGGATTTTTAAATTGTTAATTTATTTTGAGATAGGGGTAATGCAAATGAAGAAAATTTACGGGATGATCTCATATAAATTATATGAAGATGAACTTGAATTCTGTTGATTTGTTTTAAGATTAGTGCAATATAAAATTTTCATATACAACACTATCTCAAAGCAAATTCAATGGTATTCAAGTCCATACTAACCTAACTTGTATCAGAATATTTTTCACAATTTTTTTTAATATAAAGTCTATATATATATATATATATATATATACACTTACCTCAAAATAAATTAATAATTTTAAAATCTAAATCTGAGCGTAATTGTATTAGGATATTGTAATTATAAAAATTTCAATTATAAATGTTTATCATACAATAATTTTGTTATAATTGTTGATTATTTTGTAATATATGAAAATGATATGTGCTCTTAACTTAGCAATGTCTAAACTAGGAGAAATTATTGTGTACGCAATCCGAAAGGTTCGGATGCTGCGTATGTTCTGCTTATTTCGTATTTTTTGATATATAATTTTTTCGTAGCAAATAAGTAGCAAATAAATAATACTCACTAAATACACAACAAATACGTAAAAAAGACGTAGAAAAAATTATGTATCAAAAAAATACGCAACAAAATAAGCAGACCATACGCAGCATCCGAACCTTTCGGATTGTGTACACAATAATTTCTCCTAAACTAGGGATGTAAATTCAAGTTTTGACTGTTAAGTTTCGGCTTGACATGAAATTGACTCAACCCAAACATATTTGATTAATTTGATTCCAACCCGTTTATCAGATGGGGGTCAAAATGTTCGACTCAAACCCAACATTTTTGATCCATTAACATAATGATTATATATAAAATTAACACAACTCATTTAATCCAAATATGACCCGTTTAACCTAAAAATAATTCGCATTTAACCTCAACCAAAATGATAATTGAGCCAATCTTGAATTTTCAAGTCAGCCAGAATCCGACTAAAAAATTATTCAGATCAAGATTTTCAATCCGAATTTGACTAAAAAATTAATCAAGTTAACCCAAAAAATATAAAAATTCTTATTTTGTGTTGGTTGATTTAGTTTTGCTGATTGTTATGATTTGTGCAGGAAAGAGAAATTAGAAATAGTTGTTGAACAGACAGTTTAGAAGTATATATATCATTTGAGCTATTATTACCTTAATTATTCTCAACTATTTTATATGCAGACAATTAAGTTGGATAGGATTCCTATTCCAACGGCATAGAGACCAAACTCTTTGAAGGAATCCAAAGAATATTATTATTATTATTATTTAATCAAATAAGTAAATAAATAAATAAATTTAAAGATTTAATGAGCTTTTTATGCTTCATTAACAATCAAAATCATACATTTTTTTAAGAATAAAAAACATACATGTTGCATCCTGAAATATTCATGATGGCAGAGAAATATATAGTTTAGCATTGTACTAAGATTCAGCACTCAAATAGATAGAAGAGATAGGTGCGTTCAATCACAACAAGAGACACCATTATTTTTACATAGAAATCTAAAAAAAGGTGGTGTGTGTTGTGTGTGTGGGGGGGGGGGGGGGGGGGGACATAGGCCTGTTCCCTAATTATATGATTCAAATTTTCGCTAGTTATGATAGTTGATTACAAATGATGCCCTTCCCTAGAGGAGAACGTTGGCTCAATGTAGCAAATATACAATGTATATAATACAGTATATAGTTGGAGAATGGCAGAGCTGCTGATCTTAAGAGAGTGTTGGTATGTTCATTTGATTAATATATCGTATTCGGCGAGTGATTGTGGTCGATGGGCGACGGTGGTTGGAAGGACGGTAGTCGGCGTGTGACGATGGTCGGAGGAAAACTCATTAGTGACTTCAATATGGAGGTCCGATGATGATAATTGGCCAAATGTTCAACAATGGTAGCCTGGTGGCACAGATTTGTCGGTGGTGGTGCCGAGGTGGAGCTTTAGTCTTATAGCTCTTATTTTTTTTTCTCTCCTCCCCCTCCATGTGAAGAATGGGGGACAATTTATAATTTTTTTTGTGAGTGACATGACTAGTAAATATGGATATGATCAATGACATGTTGTGAGTGTTCCATCGGACGACTCAGAGTGATCCCCTTGATCATGAAGCGTTTATCAAACATTTAGATGCCCTAGAGATGTCAGAATTGGGTGATCTTAGGCTCGTTGGATTCGTTTCGTTGAGCTATTCCATTTGACTATAAGTATGTCATATTTGAATATCATTTGGTCATCCAATTAATGCTTTGAAGCTTCCAAGATAGCTTTGGTTATTTGATTTGGGCTCATTTGGACTCGAATTTGATCAAATTTTATGTCGTTGGATTCATCTCCTTAAGATGTTCAATTTGACCATAAGCTTGCTAAAATTGGAAATCAAATGGACCCGTTTTTAATTTGTTAAGTCTCAATCTTATATTTGCATTGAGATTCATGCCTGAGTCTCAATCTCATATTTGCATTGAGATTCATGCCTGATCAAGACGATGGTGAAGTATCAATACAGAAAACAAGAAGATAAATAAAGAGAAAGAGAAGTTGCTAAAAGATTAAAGGAGAGTGAGGGAAAATTTTTTAGCATAAGCTTTTTTTTACTGTTTATTGTATGAAATGTAGATAATGAGCATTATATAATAATTCATGTGAGAAAAATGAATCATGAAAATCTAAAATAATAAAAAGTGTGGGGGTTAAAGTTGACAAAGAACTTGAGTTTTATTTAGTCATAGAAAGAGTTATATGAGAGAGCACGCATATAAGAGTTACATGATTCAAGTAATAAGAGGAAAACAATTAGTTTTAGAAGCATTTGATCATGCTCTATTCCCCTCTATC